CAGGGTCGATTGGAGAGCGATCTGCAGTCGATTTGGTAGGTCTTTACTAGACCTGCTAAATTGATTGCCGGTGGATCGATCTCAGAGCGTTGATCCCTGCTGTAGTGTAGACTTGCTTTTGGAAACAGAATCATCCTCAGTCCCCCATACCACCCCCCCCCCCCCCAGTAATCTGGGAAAACTAACCACCGCCCTGGAGTGCCTTTTGAGAGGCAATATTTTCCCACTCACAAGCACTTAGTGATTTCTCTGGGTAGCAAGGAAGCTCAGTGCTATTCCCTCTTTGTTGTCTTTTACTGCAACACTGACCCCACACCAGATCTAAGGCTTATCGCCCCCTGCTCATCAGTGATTTCAGCTCTAGTAATCACTGAACAGAAACTAGGACTCAGCTGAGTCCAATCAGCTCTGTCTTTAAACACTGGAGACGGGAGGGACAAAAAGTGTCTGGGACTCGTTATTTAGGAACAACTATTCCCATCATTTTCACTGAGATTTGCCATCCCTACTCCCTGCTTAGCAAGTAAGGTTCAGTTTAGGGTGACATCCTCAGTCAAGGCAGGCTAAGTACAGTTCTGCTGCCCTTTACTCATACAATAAAGATAACCGTTCATTACCCTGCACTCAAAGGAATAGTAACCAAAAACCAGCCAAAATTGATCACTTTGGCAAAGCAGATCTGTCTGCCGACCATGTAGGCAGAGTGTCTATGCAAATATGGTCTGCTCCTGAAGTCTCTTCCCCCCAGTGCATCACTAGATGTTAGGGAAGAACTCATTCAGACCCTGCTTACATCCATGATACTACCAGATCCAGAAGTGTAAGACATGTCATTTATCAAATAGTAAGAATGGACAGGGTTGTTGCATCAAGTTCCAATAGTTTCAAGCTCAGATAGCTCTGCTGTTATTCATGATGAACAAGCATCAAAAGATTAGGGTAAGTATACAAAGTTTGGATGCATCCTTATAAATCTACATAGATCTTCTTTCTGCCTAAAGGGGGCTCAGCTAAAGAAATTACATTAACCTCAGGAAGTCAGGTACATAGACTCACGGCTCCAGATGAAGAGATTACTTTGCGACTTCTGTTATCTTTGCATGGAGCCAAATCACTGTCTGCCTGACACAAAGAGACTGCACTCTGAGAAGAATTGGGCTGAGGGATACTATGTGTACTATGCTTTACGTATTATTTGTATTGTGCTAGTGTTTAGGAACCTCAAACAGGGATTAGCAACAGAGGGTCGTGTGGCACCTTTAAGACTAACAGAAGTATTGGGAGCATAAGCTTTCGTGGTTAGTTCCTCGTTATCTCCATACTGATTTATACCTGCCTCTGGAGATTTCCATTACTTGCATCTGAAGAAGTGAGGTTCTTACCCACGAAAGCTTATGCTCCCAATACTTCTGTTAATCTTAAAGGTGCCACACGACCCCCTGTTGCTTTTTACAGATTCAGACTAACACGGCTACCCCTCTGATACTAAACAGGGATTAGAGTCCCATTATATTAAACACTGTAAAAACAGATACCACAAAGATGGTCCATGCCCCTGAGAACAAATCTTTGGCCTCTCACATGCAGTATCTGGCTGAGGTAGGGAATGGGAAAGTGGGAAAGTATTAGTGAACAATGCATATGCCTAGACTGTAATCACATAATCTGTAACCCTTGTCCTTCCTTA